ACTCAACTTCTATAATGACAGTTGGTCTAAGGGGGGGCTGGGTAATCTTCTTAGCAGCAGCGTGATCACACTACTGTACAAAAAAGGTGAAAAAGACGATATTAGAAACTACAGACCCATATCACTGCTAACCCTCCCTTACAAGATCCTCGCTAAGACCCTGTCTAACCGGATCATTAAGATCACCAACAAGTGCTTCCACATTGACCAAACAGGATTCATCCCGGGCCGCTATATTCTTGGACAGCGTCATGACACTAAATGAATCAGTGAGAAAAATCAGAGAAAGGAAAATAAATGCCGCCATTCTCTTCTTTGATTTCGAGAAAGCATACGACCAAGTCAACTGGGACTTTATGGAAGCAAGCATGGAAAGAATGGGAGTCGGAACGAACTTCAAAAAGTGGGTTAGGATACTCTACAAGGATGCAGTTGGCTGTGTCCAAGTTAATGGACTATTGTCTGACTGCTATCCGATATCCCGCTCGGTCCGCCAAGGGGACCCTCTAGCACCCTCAATCTTCCTTTTTGTAATGGAGGCAATTGCTTCGTTCCTGCGCAAGGATCCATCAATTCAGAGACTAGCCAGTACCGACGTAGGCTCGGCCCATCAGATGGATTTCCCTGCAGCTATCATGTTCGCTGATGATTTAACAGTCCTGATTAGAGCATCAGACTCCTCCTTCAGAACACTAGCCAAAGCAATGGAAGCATTCAGGCTAGCCTAAAAAATGAGGATCAATTGGGGGAAAACAATTGGCTGGTGGCTTTCCAACGACGAACCCCTTTCTTTCCAAGGAAGCAAGGCGGCTATGACTTGGCAAACACCGGATACACCCACACGCTATCTAGGAATCCTGATGACAAAAGAAGGACTGGCGCCCCAAATGGGCCCGTCAATGCTGGCCAAACAGATTAACAAAATCGGAAGGTGGGGCAACGCTTTCACTTCCCTTATAGGCCGAGCGCTGGTGCTCAACACGTCGGTCTTCTCAATGATGTGGTACATTGCTTCTATCTGGACAGTTCCCGACAGCTCGATTAAGGAACTGAACAGACGAGCCAGGATATACCTATGGACAGGTGACCCTAATAAAGATAAGGGGATATCTAAGATAGCCTGGCAGTATGTCACAAGGGAACCACGAAATGGAGGCCTGGGAATCATTGACCCCGGAACTGAAACCAAAGCTCTCCATATTAAATGGATCATCAAATTGCTGATGAATCCGGACAGCGCCTGGAACAATTTGGCACTGGACAACATTAGATCGATAGCCCCGATTCCCTCCCCGAATGACATGTCCGGTATGTATTGGGTAATGAACAAAGAATGGGAAATCGGACGAGGAATAACAGGACCAATGACCACCGGCCACCCACCCCCTACTGGCCAGCACTGCTCTGATCGTGGAGGAAAATAATCCCTAATAAGATCAACAAACCCAAATCCAAGGATGAAGTCCTAAGACAACCGCTTTTCGGTAATGAATGGATAACAAACGAAGCCAATAACCCGCTTTTCCTTGAACAAAAGTGGCTTTCTTGGATTAAAAATAGTATTTGGAAAATAGATCACCTGTGGATGGAGGACAAAAAAGATTGGATAACGGAACAAGAAGTCAGTGTCCGACTAAAAGGCTGTCACAGACGTGAGACCAATCTCCAATACGTACTCAGTCGTATCCCGCAAGATTGGAAAGATATCCTGGTGAAAGATGAATCCTGGAGATCGGGCGAATGGGGCCTTCTGATTCATGACACACCCCCTACTAGAGCCTATCAATTCTCTCACATACAGCAAGGCTCTCACACTAGAGCCATCTTTCATTCCTTCCCGGTCACCTTCTCTAATACGGACATGCCGGCTATTTTCAACAACAATGTGGAAACGTCGATACTGGATTCCTTCCTTCTCAGAAAAGCAAGGGTCCCAGGTACATGGCCAAAGGCAATTTTCAGACCGGACACAGCAATTTCCTTGGAGTTCGACCCAGCAGAGTGGGCCTGGAAACCAAATTCTACCAGCAACTTCAAGACAAAAGTCCCGATCCACGACTACTCAGTCAAACTGGGGTACAGACTGTCATTGAAAACCAAAAATCCAGATCCAATTATCAAAAACAGATGGCGGAATCTCGTGGGTCAGGAAGCAGACAAAATCACGCGAATCCACTGGGAAAAATTCAAACGCATCAGACCAATCAAGATCAGAAGTTTGCAATGGCTGATTGTGTACGCAGCTCTGCCAGTGAACCAATGGCTACATACTAGACGAAAAATCAATGACCCAAATAGCTCGGAATTATGTACAGTCTGCTCTGAAGGTTTGGTAGAAGACCTAGTACAGTGCCTAGTGTTCTGCAAAGAAGCGACTGAATACTGGGCGAGAGCATCTGCACTCTGGAACTCCCTCTTCTCTTCCCCCTTCCCCAAACAACCCATTCAGCTGCTCCTCTTGACTAACATCCCTGTTCAGGCTCGGAAAGCTGAGAGGTCCTGGTTCGAACTCATCACGAAGGTGACCCTGTGGGTCATATGGAAGGAGAGATGCAGCCGAACAATCGAAGGACATTCCAATCCACGGGAGAAGGTGTGGTTAGAAACTAAAGCAATGATTCAAGCGGAGATCCTTTGCAGATGGCGGAGGACCAAACGAGCCTGGACGGAAGACGAAGAGCAGCGGAACAAGGAAAGACAGAGTGTTTACAGAACGTGGCTGGTTGATGGCAAGATTGGAGAACTGCGACAGGACCAGGTATGCTGGGAGAGATGGCATAATTCAAGTCCAGAAAGGGACTTCCAACGTCAGTCACCGAGGGAAGACTTAACCACGTCTTAGGCTGCAAGAGGATAAACATAATCCAGGGGGCACAGATGACGAGGAAACAAGGAAAACACAAATGGGGTCACATAAGGGGGGTCCCTTCCCAGAGAGCCGGAAGCTAATGAGCTCCTTGCCAGGGCCCAATTCGGACGACCGGACAACAACATTGCAGACCGAAACTGTTGGTTACAAAGACAAGCGGCTGACTGTTCGAAGGGGGGCAATAGTGATTGAAAAGAGAAGNCAACATTGCAGACCGAAACTGTTGGTTACAAAGACAAGCGGCTGACTGTTCGAAGGGGGGCAATAGTGATTGAAAAGAGAAGAAGCAGGTGGATAGGGGTAGCAGTCGTGCTCTTTCTAGGCTCAAGTGCTTTATCTGACAGATCTGGATTCCGGATCGGAGAGGAAAGAGAGGGACAAGGCAAGCTGGCAGTCAATCCTCCCGGGGTGGAGCAATCAATGCTGCTCAGGGGTCCTTCGGCCAGACGGAAGGAAGCGTGTGTGAGTGTTAATGGTTGTTGTATATATTTTTGACTTGCCGGTGGAATAGGAACCGGACTGATGCTCCCCAGAATAGAAGGAGCCAGGACCATAAGGCCCTGTTGAAAATAACTGACGTATCCATGTTATCCTTGCATCTGGTTCTCCCAGGAACTGTTGGAACTTGAAACACAGACCCAAGGCCTCATCTCTTTGAAACTTGAAACTTGAAACTGGTCAAACTCCAATACATGAGTAAAAAATTGAAGTGCACTCTGAATTTACCTGGGGCTTCTGAGTTCAAGCTTCAAAGAGATGATATCTCAAGGCCGTCTCCCTTTTTTTTCACGAAAAAAAGAAGTTAAAAAACTGACCTGTCCGGGTTATCCCTGCATTTGCAGGATGCTTTTTGGGTGAGCTGCAATTGTTCATCACATGGATTTCTTGATATTTCAGCAACATTGTGGATGGGTCTTTCGTAGACACCCTGCCTGGGGGCGACAAAGAATCAAGCATTAAGTACTTCCCTGACCAACCGACCGAGTGCCGATGGATTCGTACTGCTCAAGTATGTGATGTGCGCTTTCGAGTCCGTCGATGTAGGCTCCATCCCATCTGCTGACTGTGTACACAACCTGACCGACGATGCGCACCAGCTGATTGCTGGTCTGATGCTGTAAATATAGGTGTACTACTAGCCCTCTGCTCCATTGCTAAATCAAGATCATCCATTGATTGATGATGCATCTTTCAGTCTTCAACTGATTTGCTTGCAAGAGGCCCTCACACAAGCAATCAGTCGATTGGGATTACCCGGACAAGTCAGCTTTTTTTCCCTCATGCAATCAGTTGAAGTTTTTCCCAGTGATGTGTGGTGCAAAACAGCGCGTAGAATCGAACTTCTTACACCCGGGAAATCTCACTGGCGTTTCTGCCGGTTTTCGTTGCACACACCCCTTGTCCCCGCCCTTTTTCGAACACAGGGCAGCCAGGCCTCGCTGGAGTGCCACGCGAGACCCGCAACTCCCTTTATAAATAGTAGGTATAGATAACAAAATCACCAGCATATCTGACAAACCGGAATCTTTTCCATCCTTCTGGACATGCACTAAAATTTCAACAACACAGAGAAGATTAGCATGGCCCCTGCGCAAGGATGACACACATAAATTGAGAAATGTCCCAAACAAAAAAAAGGAGGATCTTCTTCTCAAGTTGCCTGGGGTCATGTACTGGTGGTTTAAGGACTGTTGGAGAATCTGCAGTGCATTCTGTATGTGAAGTTTGTGAAGACGGGAAAAAGCATTGTCGTGCTTTTTGCTGAATGTGTTGCCTTTTGTTTTTATTCTTAGCAGCAAGGTGATGCGTGCTTTCAAGCAGTTGTTAGGATGCTTTGCAACTGGCGTGATGAGATGGTGAGTTGAACTTCAGCACAATTTTACCCTGGCCCTCTCTCTCTCTCTCTC